TACGGTCCTGAGGTTGACATCTAGGCTCTTGGTGGTACGGTGTACGAGTTGATAACTGGGAAACCCCTCTGGGATCATCCAATCCTGATTCTAAGACTGATGATGTGTTACGCCGGATTGGGTCTGAGGAACCAAATTTTGAGAATGCAAAACTGTGAGCAGAGGTAAAACAATTTGTGAGAAGTTGTCTAGTCAAGAATTCGGGCTCGCGTTGGACGGCCGACATGCTGTTGAATCATTCTTTTTTGAAATTAGCCGAAAATATTCAGCCCGCAACAAAGACGAGAAAGAAGCAAAGTGGTTACTTGTCCCTTTTGTGCACACCCCATCGAAAGACAACATTCAAGACATAGCCACACATTCGGGATTTGATTATAATAACATTGATGCAGAGATTGAAGAAACTAGAGACTGGAACTCGATGAACATTGCAGGTACCCGACAATATTAGATAGATTGATTATAGAACATTGGTTTGTAATATATGTAAATTCAGAACTACGTGCGGGCTTGATCCCCTCTTAAGGATTTGTTCGTGGGGGTACGTAGGCAGCCTGTGACCGAGATGATCTCAGGTGCAGCCCCTTTTAGTTAAAAAAATATTGTTTATGTTTATGGTTTACTAACACTCCTTACAAAGATAGGCGACTTGTTGTATGTTTTTTTGGCCATTGATGACTAGCATCAACTTTGTGATAGTAGCAAACCTGTTATTGTATGTGAAAGAAAGAAAAGTAGACAAAACAAAAGAAAGAAAAGTCAAAAAGAGATGAACTTATGATGTAAGCGCTTGCATCGGCATTCTTATGATGTATGCGCTTACATCGACATTCGTATGATGTAAGCGCTTACATCGGTATTCGTATGATGTAAGCGCTTATGTCGCCAGGGCATTCAAATGCCTATAAAAGGGGTATGCATTTTCATTTGCAGATCATCCCTCAACTTCTTCTTTCTCTCTTCAATTAATAAAGAGTTATTCTTTGTCTGGTCGTAGAGTAGGCAAAAATTGCCGAACCACGTAAATCTTCTCTTGTCTTGTCTTGTCTTGCACAATTTATTGCTTCTCTTTCAAATATTTTTTCCCTTTTATTAGCCTGACACGCTTCCCAACAACTGGTATCAGAGCACAGACAGTGTAATTCTGGTAGAAAAGTACGGTATTAGTGCAGGTACTATTCACAAGAATAGTGCGACACTATTGATCGTCGTTACTATTCATAGACACTATTCACATAAATGTTTTTGTGAAAAATGGCATCGGAAGAAGGGAAGGTTAATATTGACAAGTTCAATGGCAAAGATTTTGAATTCAGAAAAATGCAAGTAGAGGATTATTTGTACCAGAAAAAATTACACTTACCTCTGACCGAGGTAAAACCAGAGAATATGGCCAAAGCGGATTGGGATCTATTAGATCGCCAAGCTCTTGGTGTGATTCATTTGACCCTAACACGAAATGTGGCATTTAACATCATTAATGAGAATACCACTGCAGGCCTGATGAAGGCGTTATCAAATATGTACGAGAAGCCATCTGCTTCAAATAAAGTCTATTTGATGCGTCAATTGTTCAACTTAAAGATGACAGAAGGTGGATCTGTTACGGAACATATCAATGAGTTTAATGTAATATTAACTCAGTTGAGTTCTGTTAATATAACATTTAATGAAAAAGTCAGGGCTTTGATTCTACTATCATCTCTACCGGAGGGTTGGTCTGCAACAGTAACTACGGTTAGCAGTTCATTGGGAAGTACCAAACTCAAATTGGATGATATTAGAGACTTGGTTACAAGTGATTCCCCAGGATCTGCTTTTAATACCGAAAACAGGGGGAGAAGCAACAAAAGAGGACAAAGTCATAGTCGTGGCAGATCAAAGTCAAGGAGAAAAGGGCAATTCAAAAATTGCAAAGACAGTATATGTTGGAATTGCAATAAAGAGGGTCACTACATTAGTCAGTGTGGAGAGTCAAAGAAGAAGAAGAACGATCAATACAAGGATGATAATTCAGTAAATGCAATTGCTGAACAAGTCGGTGATGCACTAATTTGTTATGCAGACAGTCCAGTCGAATCTTGAATTCTGGACTCAGGTGCATCCTTTCACTCTACATCATGCAAAGAATTATTGCATAATTATATTGTTGGAAAATTTGGGAAGGTCTATCTAGAAGACGGCGAACCTCTGGACATTGTCCGGAAAGGTGAAGTTCATATAAAGACTTCACAAGGTACGCTATGGAAATTGCAAAATGTCTGATATGTTCCTGGCCTCAAGAAAAATCTGATATCTATGGGTCAGATTGACAATGAAGGATATACAACAATATTTGGTAACAGATCGTGGAAGATAACCAAAGGAAATTTGGTTGTGGCACGAGGATTCAAGAAGGGAACACTGTATGTAACTGCAATACAGAAAGATACTATAGCAACAGTTGATCATAATCATGATACAATATTATGACACCAGAGGCTCGGGCATATGAGTGAGAAGGGAATGAAGTTGTTGGCATCCAAAGAAAAGTTGTCAAACATGAAGCATGTTGAATTAGGTTTGTGCGAAGATTGCATTTACGGGAAACAAAAGAGAGTTAGTTTCTCAAAGGCGGGAAGGACACCAAAGAAAGAGAAGCTGGAACTAGTGCATACAGATGTGTGAGGACCAACTCCTGTAACTTCTCTGGGAGGCTCATGCTATTATGTCACCTTCATTGATGATTCCACAAGAAAGGTATGGGTTTATTTTCTGAAAAATAAATCTGATGTGTTTGTTACCTTTAAAAGATGGAAAGCTGAAGTTGAAAATCAGACAAATCCAAAGTTAAAATATCTAAAGTCTGACAATGGAAGAGAGTATGATAGTCAAGAGTTTAAAGCATTCTGCTCTAAGAATGGGATCAGAATGATCAAGACAGTTCCTGAAACACCGGAACAAAATGGCGTTGCTGAGAGGATGAACAGAACCCTGAATGAACGAGCCAGAAGTATGAGAATATATTCTGGATTGCCGAAGTATTTTTGGGTCGAGGCTGTTAACACGGCAGCTTAGCTCATAAACAGGGAACCCTCTGTACCGCTGAATTTTGAAATTCCTAAGAAGGTATGGACAGGAAAGGAGGTAACTCTGTCACATCTGAAATTTTTTAGTTGTGTTGCTTATGTGCATATAAACTCTAATGATAGAGATAAGCTTGATCCTAAAGCCAAGAAATATTTCTTTATTGGCTATGGTGATGATAATTTTGGTTATCGATTTTGGGATGATCAGAATAGAAAGATCCTAAGACACATGAATGTCACATTTAATGAAATATGATGTACAAAGACAAGCTTCAAGTAGAATCAACCAGTATAAGCAGACATACATCTGAAACAGTTGAGTTAGAAGAAATCTCAGAAAATGAAGTGGCTAGAGAGACTACAACTGGATCTGAAATTGAAGATGCCGAACCAGAAGCCGAATCTGGATCAGAATCAGAACCAGAACCAGAGATAGAATCATATGGAGAACCAGAACTGGAGTCAGGACTTGAATCAAATTCGGGATCAGTTAATCGTGAACCTACATTAAAGAGATCTAAAAGAGTCACGAATGCTCGAGATAGCACTACAACAATTTTGGCCTATAGCCACACTAATTATAGACAACACTCGAAAAATATTGCCAAAAATAGCTATAGATGCGCTTATAAAGTGTGGTCTTTGATTAGAGTCTTTGGCCACGTTTTGCAAGGCCACACTTAAAAAGCTTACTCTTATAATATAAAAGTGTTGCCAATTTATAAATTATTTGGCAACGCTTATTAATTATAATGCAACGTTTTTGAAGAGTTGTTATATTCTAATACTAAATGTAACAATTTATAAGCGTAACCTAAAAACTTGTTATAAAAAATTTCTCTCAAAATCCCCCCCAAATATACAGTTAATGAAAATATTTCCCTCCCCCACTACTCAAAAGGCAAAGAAATCACAAGCTCCTAGAATACTACGTTTCCCAATTCTTTTCTCATTACCTTAACTTTGTTGCTTTTTTTACGCGGCTGCTGGCTTTTGATTGCTGCTTCTTCCAGATTAATCTCACTCTAGCAAATCTCCATCCTTTCTCTATTGATTAGTATTTCTTTTACTCAAAGATTTTTCATTTTTTTTCCCGATTTCTGATGAAAAAATAATCTTCTATTATGTATATACCTGGGTATGTTGGTATAGTCTTCATTTTATACTCAATGTTTTTAACTTTTTTTTTTTAATTTCTGATTCTTGGGTTGAAAAGAAGTAATTTTGTTTTGTTTAATTTCTGGGTATAAGTTTTAGTTTTTTTACTAATTTCAAATTCTTGGGTTGAAAAAGAGTAATCTTTTCTATTTGATTTTTGATATCTTTGATTGATGTTCCATCTTATACTTAAAATTTTAATTTGTCTAGCTTCTTATTGAATGTTTTTTTGGGGCCGATAGAAGTGAATTTTTTTTTTGTTTAATTTTTGGCTATCAAAGTTTTTAGTTTTATCCTTGTTTTATATTCTTGAGTTGAAAAATAAGTTATCTTTTTGTTTGATTTTGGGTGTCAAAGCTTTAATCGATTTTTGCAATGTATACGTTTACTGAGATTTGCATTCGATCTAATTATACCGAAAAGTTTCACAAGTAGGGCGTTATATAGCTTGAGTTTGTGATTTCAAAATATTTTGAAATTGCTTCTGAATTTGGTGGTTATTTTGACTTAATTTCAGTTGTACAACCACTTTGTTTTACGTTTTACTTGAATCATTGTGCGAGAATTTTATGAAACTGATCTAAAGTTACTTTGACCAAATAAGCATGGTTGATGTAATTTTCTGGCTTGCTCGTTAATTTTGTGGTGAGACTTCATTTGAAGGTTTTATTTAGTGATTGACCCTCTGGGCAAATGAGCTAAAATATTCATGTAAAATGATTATCTTTTGAGTGTAATAGTTCATAGTTTGTAATTATTTATGGCTGTAAATTATTTCGCCAAAATGTAATAGTGGCAAACTGTTAGAATGTTGTTAAAGATGCTCAATAATATTTAATTATTAGATATGCTTGTATAGTTTTTCTTGTATTTTGTTTTATAAAGTAAGTTGCTTCATTGAAAGCATCAAGCAGAGATGATTTTGATAGGATCTGGGAGCTAGCCAATAACCAAAAAATAGAGATGCTAACCCTTTTCCTCTACTTTTTGATTTTCAAGTAAGATTAAACTGTGCATTTCTACTCTGTTGCATTATATTTTTTTTTACTTTTTGATTTATTAATTAATATACTTCTTTTGGTGTTAGGCTATGAGCCAATTAAATTCTGAAAATCGGAAAAAATAAAAGTGGAGGCATCGAATGGGACCTATTAATTTCGCAAGAGTACGCGTGGCATTGGTAATATTTAGTCGACACTTTGTAAAAAATCTGACCTCCATTTCTTTTTGTACTTTATCGTATCACATTGATGTTTGTTTTTTACTTTCTTTGATGTAATTTGTAGCGCGCAACCAAAGAGAACAACGAGGAACCATCAAAGTCTGAAATGTTTATTACAACCCGTATAAAGAAAGGGAAGGAAGTTCATACAGATACTCAAGTTGCAATAGTAAGTCGTGTTGCAAGCTAAGATCTTGTTATTATATTTTTTTCTCTCTTTAACTGAATGTGTTTCTTGTAATGTTTCAGCTTTATTCTTTAAAAAATATTTACAATGTTACAAAAACTGAAAAGTTATTGTGAAATAATGAACAGTGATAATTTGACAAAATCTGGCAACAAAATAAGGGGGTACTTGGGAACAAAAATCAGTTTTGTTTGTGTGAAACTTCATATTAAAATGGTTACTATTCTTGTCGCTGAAAAATCTATTGATACTCTTGGCCAAATTTTGAGGTTCATTAAACTTTTTGATTTTTTTTTAATTGTTCGTGTTATTCATTTCCATCTTAAGGTCAAGAGTTGAAGTAAAATTGAGTTGAAGTAAAATTGTGGGAATGTGACAAACTAATTGTCAAAACAAATGAAGCAACAAAGTTTTTGGACTTATGATTCTAACACTTAGCAAAAAGAGTTCTTAGGGGTTGTCTGTCCCTTGTTAGTTCTAGACAATTAACTCTAAGAATAAGCTCTTGCTCGTATTGTTTTAGTGTTGGGGCGGGGCGAAATATTTCATTTATTATTGAGTGGCCTGTAGAAGACTATTTTTTTTCTCTCCTTTTCTTTTATGGTGCTTGACTCGCTTCCTGAATTTCTAATTTCTGCCACAACCAACATTCTTAGATGATTGCTACAGCGCGATATGGTATATAATGCAAACAGTTTACAAGAAGTAAATTTAGTGGCAACACTCAGATGCATAATGGCAAATTTTGTAGTGAGATGTGAGAATCAAGTTTAAATCAAACAGATTGAAACATGACTGAGTGAAACAGGTGTAAGTGCTTTAGGTTTCTAGACATTTTGCTATTTTTCACTAATTTGCATAGTTCTGAGTATGCCTATAGAGGGATCATTATCAAACTGTTTTTTTATTTATTTAATAACTCCTCTTTGTTCTATTTATATAATACTGTTTATTCTAGTAGTGGAACAATTTTCTCCTTTAACGATGTTTTTAATAAGTTTTAAATATTTTTGACTATAAACTTGTAGAGGAAAGGGTTATGAGCTTGCTGAAGCGTTTCCTCTATAAAACTGTAGTTGTTGCAAGATCACTAAAGGAATACAACAAGCTCATAACCCTTTTCCTCTACGAACCTTCTGTTGTCATTATTTTCTTATGTTCATTGTCATTTTGTTGTGTGTTTCTTCTCTTCGATTGAAGGGATTTTCACATAAAGAACATTAATCTAACTTGACTTGTTGAAACTTATTTTAGTGTTCATTCTATCTTGACTTGTAAGTGATGTTCAGTAATTTTTTTTTGACAGTTTGAACTTCAAAATCATCAAAGTTCCGGAGAAATACCAGATGATGCAGTTAGGGTTGTGTTTGGAAAGGAGCAGCCTGGTCGGATTAGATGCTATGGTAGATCGGTCACGATAAGCTCTCTGAAAAAAGATGAGGAAATCAACAAGCTTAAACAAAAGCATGCTAATGAAATGATTTCTCTGAAGGAAGAAATGAAGGAAATGATGAGAGAAGAAATGCGAAACTTTTTTATTCAGTTGGTACAAAATAACTCTGGACTGGATATTCATGATATACAAGGGTGTGCCGGATCTAATCTTCCTTCACATGTTGATGCAAGTAGTGCACGAGCTATGAGAGGCCAAAATCTACCACATTCTTCTGGCTCAACTCATGCTCTGAGTCTTGAAAAGGTATTTATATTTCACACTCTCGAAAAATACCTCAGGTTAACTTACAAGACCATACTTTTCTAAATTATTTGCTTTTTTTAGAAGGTAAACTATTTGCTTTTGATGGCTGTGTTACATAATAACATTAGTTATGAATGAACGGAAGGAAAATATGTTTCAGGAATAGAATTTATTTTTTGTAAGTGATTTTTAAAATGTCCTAGGATACCAAGTGAGCCCACAGGATAACAGGAAATTTTTTAAGAGTTGGATAGAACTTTTAAATTTTGAACAAGAGGAAGCCTTCTCCAATGATACCAAGTGAATCTATTATTTCTTTGACAACTAAAATATATAAAGTCAAATGATATCAATTGTTTCAGAAGGTTTATATATATATATATATATACATGATGTTTTGAACCTATAATCTGGAAATGGCTTTTAGCTACTTGATTTGCTCTTTTGTATTTTCAAATCATGGAATTAATCATGTACTTTAACTTGTTTTCTATATCTGTTTCTTTGTCCCATTTATTAGTATGTAGAGTCAGATTGTTGGTATATATATGCTAATAGTATAAAGAGGTGAAGAGGACTATAAAAAGTTGTATGAAATGGCTTGATATTTTAAATTGAATATCGATAAGCTACTTGAATTTGATGCATGCACCTCTTCTTGTACAAGAATTTGCTTATCTGTAGTCATTTTGGAGCAAATTGTCATAGATTAAAACATTAGGACTACTTTTATTGAGGATCAGTCAATTTTCTTATCTTATGGATAATCAGTGTTATCAAAGGTGAAAAGCGCAAAAAAACTCTAAGGTCTGTTGGAGAAAATTTATCATTTAGCTGAAGAAGAATTAAGGCTACATGAAGATGGTATGTTGTGAATCATCCTTGGATTCCTCTAGTTGGGTTAGCAGCTTTGTACGAGACATGGCTTCCATGTAGAAGGATAAAAAGAAGTATTTTCAGTAACTACATTTGGCAGTGGTAAGATGACTTTGCCTAATATGATAGTGGAGATTTTTTATTGGAAACCTAACATCAGTTGTTATAATATTTTTCAATACAGAGAACTTCTTGATCGCGCACTTTCTGTGTGTTCTGAAGGTACTATTAGATCTACTTAAACTGGAGTCCAGATTACTGTCAAATTTTCTCAATGCATTTCAATTAGTTTTGATGAATGGTTTGTTGTGGTATAAACTGACAGCTTTGACTATTTCATGTGTATACTGTAAGCAGTTTGATTCTTTTCTCAGTGTTATAGACACCTTATTAGTTTGTTGATTGGGTTTGAGACTCTGTTTATGCAAGCTTATGAAGATATTCAATGATTCTTGTCTTTTTCAGATCTACATACTACTATTATGCATATGCTTTCGTATTGACTTTGTGGGTTATCTAGGCAAAGTTCTCTGCATACTATATGTAGGTTTTTTCCTAATTTTTAATTTTATTTTGAATGTGTAAGAAAATACGGGTGCTACAATTGGAAGTGGTGGCTACAAATCAATTTGACCTATTGAAGTGAATGGGGAAGACTTTTTGAAGAATTATGATGTTTATTATTATTGATACTTATATGAATAAATTTTATTTTGTAGCATTTATTGCTAGTGAACTTGAAATAGTGCTTTATTAGTATGGGCAGTACTACACAAATTATATTTCTTTGTTCAAGTCTATTTCAAGTATATGCATTTGACCTATTTTTATTCTGCTACTTATTATCTTATTTAATGCTTGAGATCATAATGTATATGCTTGAAACAAATGTGAATACAGAATTTATTGTAGGCGACTAAAATTTCTTCACCACACAATTGTGGTAAATATAAATATTTTAAAAATGATTTTAAAGCGTACACAAAATTAACACGTTTAGAAAATGTGGCCATAGGGACAGGCAATTTGGCGCTATGATTGATAATTGTTACTTTAGAAGCGATGTTTTAAAAGTGTGGTCTATAAGGTACCAAAGACCACGCTTCAAACATGTAGCTTTACGTCATAAAAGCGTGGCTATAAGAGAAAATATAAGCATAGCTTTTTTATCGCATTGGCCACACTTTTGAAGCGTGGCTTCTAAGGCGACGCGTAATAAGCGTGGCCATAGGTCAAAGGTTACAGTTCTTTAGGCCACCCCGTAAAAGCGTAGCCTAAAGGCGTAAAGTGTTGCTTTTGATCAAATACTACACTTCTTGACATCTTAGGCTATACTTTTCAGGGGTGGCTGGAGGCCTTAAATGTTGTAGTGATAGGTTAACTCTCTCTCTCCATTATTTACTTCTGACTGATGCTGGAGAACCAGGGCATTTTGTTGAAGCAATGCAGGTGATAAGCTCTAATAAGTGGACGCTAGCCATGAAAGAAGAGATGAATTCTCTTCAAAAGAATAAAACATGGATACTTACAGAGTTACCAAAAGGAAAGAAGGCATTGCAAAACAAGTGGGTGTACAGGGTCAAGAAAGAGCATGATGGTAAGAAGAGATACAAACTACGATTAGTAGTAAAAGGCTTTTAGCAGAAGGAAGGGATTGACAACACTGAGATTTTTTCTCCTGTAGTCAAATTAACTACTATTAGGTTGGTGCTAAGCATCGTAGCTGCAGAAAATTTGCATTTGGAGCAGCTAGATATTAAAACTACTTTCTTGCATGGTGACCTTGAAGAAGACATCTACGTGAAGCAACTTGAAGGTTTTCAATTTTCTGGTAAAGAAAACCTTGTGTGTAAGTTGAAGAAGAGTTTGTATGGTTTGAAACAAGCACCCCGACAATGGTACAAGAAATTTGATGGATTCATGCATAATAATGGTTTCACACGATATGAGATGGACCATTGCTGTTATATCAAAAATCTTGATAAATCCTATATCATTTTACTGTTGTACGTTGATGATATGCTAATTGCAGGATCTAGCATAAATGAGATCAACAAGGTTAAGCAACAACTAGCGGAGGAGTTTGAAATGAAAAACTTAAGACCAGCTAAGCAAATGCTTGGGATGAGGATTAGCAGAAACAAGTATGAAGGAACCTTAAAATTGTCTCAAGAAAAGTACATACAGAAGGTATTAAGCAGGTTCAGTTTTCATGATGCAAAGACCAGAAGCACTCCACTCGGAAGCCATCTTAATCTGTCGAAGGACCAATCACCTAAGACAAATGAAGAAAGGAAGTACATGTCCAAAGTTCCATATGCTTCAGCAGTAGGAAGTTTGATGTATGTTATGGTTTGCACTAGACCTGACATAGCTCATGCAGTTGGAGTTGTCAGTAGATACATGTCAGATCCAGTTGTTTGTCTTGTGCAATTTATTGCTTTTCTCTTTCAAATATTTTTTTCGTCTATTAGCCTGACACACCTCCCTAACACTTTGTAATACATGCCCCAATAAATTGATTGGGGAACTCTAATTCTATTTCATTGTTCAATGTGCAATGCTACTCCAATTTCAAACTGTAAGCTCTGTTGCAGATTCATGAATTTTTCTTCTGCATCTCATAATTATCATTCCGTGCTTCGTCCTGTGAAAATCAGAAAGTTGCAAGAAACATTCCGAAGCATGTCTTTTGTTCATCATTGGATTTTTGTCATATTGTCTTTTTGAGCATCTATTTTCCAGGCAAAAAATGGAAGCTAGTAGTGCAATATACATGATTCTCTAATTGAGTTTCGTTAATATGATTCATCTGCTAGGTTTCGATATATCTGATTCTCTGCAATTTGGGCATTTCCAAATTTCTGCGCTGCACCTTTTGTTAACCATTTTAGATGTTGGATGTTCTATATTCTACTTGGATGTTGGATGTTCTATATTCTTGCAATCATTGTTAGAGCTTCTAATAATAATTAGAATGATGATGAAAAATACAGAAAATGGTGGCTGATTTTTGCTGGTTTTCCCAATCTTGGTGCAATGAATAAGCTGAACTGCAACTTGAAGATATTGAGAGGAGCAATGTATTGTGTAGATCTCCGGCAGCTACACCTTTCTTGATCCGCGAAATGATGTAATCCGTGACGACTGAATCACATGGTAACATAATAGGGCAGCCCAAACTCTTCTTCAGACATGTCTAAAAGTTGAATTATGACCTCATTTTCAAGATAAGCCAAAGGAAGCGCAAAGCACCTTTGATCTGTTATGTATACTACAAAATGGCTTTTTCCAGCTATAGAGGATGAAGATGTACTACAACTGTCTGCATCACTGCTGTTGCTTGGAAGCGAAATCCTCTTTCTCTGTGTGGCCGTGATCGAACTTCTGCTATCTCCTGGCCATCTTGATGAGTTTCTTAGTACTTAGCATTGCCATTTCTCTAGAAGAATGGAAACAAAAAAGTGAACTTGAAATTTAAGGACTTTTGATGGATAAATTGATATACAAGAGGCTGGAGACATGCTTTGAGTTGGAGCTGAAGTTTTTGCCACTAACCACCTAAGGCAAAGCCATGTGCTGATACCTATTGCAAATGTTGATATGGGGCCTTGAATTTGTGGTAGATGCAAATTTGGTAGGACAAAAGATGATAAATTTCTTTCTTCAATTTGCCCAACAACAGAATGGACATATCTGCTATAATATTAAGTCCTTCTATTGAGACTTCTCATCAATGTCTAGTAGTTTGAGACCTTCAAATGAAGTATTGATTACTCAGTAATATATTTTGCTGGTAAAAGGCAAAACCATGTTATGCTGCCTTCCTTATCAGGTTGATTAGGAGCTCCTTAATAAGTAATTAGTTGCCAGATTTGGGATTTCTTTCTGTAGCCTTAATGTAGTTAATCAATTGGTAGATTTTTTTGGTCAAGTCGTAGGAAGATATTCAGTACAAATTATTGCATCATTATATGCTAATGCTGATAATATTTAAATACTAAGTAACTTCAGAAGAATTTCACTGGTGTTGGTTCAATAAAACTTATTACAATCAGTACTATTAGGAAACGTGTTAGGCTAATAGAAGGGAAAAATATTTGAAAGAGAAAAATAATAAATTGCACAAGACAAGACAAGAGAAGATTTACGTGGTTCGGCAATTTTTGCCTACTCCACGGCCACACAAAGAATAGCTCTTTATTAATTGAAGAGAAAAAGAAGAAGTTGATGGATGATTTGCAAATGAAAATGCATACCCTAGACATTTGAATGCCCTGCCGACGTAAGCGCTTATATCATAAGAATGTCGATGTAAGTGCATACATCATAAAAATGCATATGTAAGCGCTTACATCATAAGTTCATCTCTTTTTGACTTTTCTTTCTTTTGTTTTGTCTACTTTTCTTTCTTTTACATACAACAACAGGTTTGCTATTATCAAGTAGCAGATTAGCTATACCCAATTTTATCTCTTTTCTCTTGTTTATGTGTGGAAATACCAGTATATGTTTCCAACAAAAGGATATGTCACTGGCTGTTACTAATACACGATTACTCAGAGTTTCTTCGTGACTTTGTTGTTGGTGGAAAATATTCTATAAATATACACTAATATTTGAACAACTTAGATTCGTCTTTTCTTATATAAACTGAATAGCCGAAAAAACAAACTGAAAAAATCTAACCGAAAAGGAAAAAACCGAATCAAATCAAATTTATTTTGGTTCGAGTTGGACGCCAAATTTTCAAAACCAAAAAGAATAATGCAAAACCAACCCGAAAAATCAAATGCGCATCCAACACGCCTCTCTACAGTAAACACCTTTTATATTAACATTTATGACGGACAAATTTTCATTGGAATTGAATTTTTATGTTATATTTTATCTTTCTATACCAACATTTGACCAATAACAACACTATTCATCATTATAATAGTATATTCCTTGTAAAATTACTTCTATAAAAAAGCCATATATTTATATATTTATTATTACATACATAATAATCGAAAAATAATCTATCACTTAGCGTAACTTTAGCGTAACTTATTGTAAGTTCTAACGAGAAATGTGAAACGTAAAAAACTCTTGTTAACTTGGACTCGAAGAGATAAAAGCCTTGTGTTAGCTTTTTTATAACTTTAGTTAATGAAATACGAATATCACTTGAGATTTCAAAATTAAATAATTTTATTATCTTTTATAACATAAAAGTTTGGAGAAAAATGAAATTTTTGTTATAAGAAAAATTAAATTATGGTGGATGTCTACTCTTCCTCCATGATCTTTTCAAATGCTTAATGACATATTCAATGACATATTTCTATGCTTAATGACATATTCAATGATATATTTTTCTTCACTTTTCATGCATATATAAATGCCTTGTAATAGATAAGAAAATA